GTGTTTTTTCCTTTTTGACTTCTGCATAAGGCTTAGAGTGAAATATAAAGAGGACTGGTACAATTCCCCTGCTACACCCTTGGGAACTGAATTAGCCAGGAACTTCATCAGTGTGTTGGCCTGCGCAGACACTCTGCTGAGGGGTGACGTGAACCTTCCCCAACACAGTGGATCCTTTTTACATTAAGTGAAATCTAAATTTCCCAAAATCTTTCCACAGTGGAGGAGTCAACATGCTGCCCTGTGCAACACAGAGGAGGGCACCTTTAATTTCCACAACCTCTGGAACCCCTCTAACTGACTTCAGCAGGACCTGGCTCAGGTCAGGAATCAGCAAACCCATGATGATGGTGTTAGTCATCTGTTTTCTCTGCTCTTGGTGTGTCCAGCTCTTTAGTAGCACAGTGGAAGTCACTGTAGCGGAGTTCCTGGAGGAACACATTTCTCCTCCTAACTTGAAGACCTACAGGCCAATTCTCCACGGGCAGGTGAAAAATGGGCTTAGAAGTAGGAGAAAGTATCCCAGTCCCCTTAACTCTGTGTCCATGTTGCTGGGTCTTAGCCTGTCAATCTTTCAGACTTGATGTGAGACTCATCTGACCTAGCATTAGCTGTATGCGGTCCCTGGTTTTGTTGACCTTTTTCTAGGTATTTACTTTTGGATCGAATGGTTCATGCCATGTGCTTGCATGTTCTTATCAAGTACATATTTAGGGACTTGAGGGTCACTAAGTCAGATATGCGTGTCAACAAGTTGAACATGTTTATGCAGCCAAGTAAATTCTACTGAAAGGCTGTTTCCATACTAATAAATGAAACATGTCTGATACTCTTCTTAGCCTTGAGACCAACTGGAATGGAGGGGCTTGCTTCCATGCAACAGCTGTCTCACCCTTCAAAACGTGGTGGCTCTATGCAAACTTCTTATGAGGATTGACCCCTGGTCCCTGCAAAATAAGCGTTATTTGGGAAAGTGCTACTGGCACAGACCAAAGCCATTCCAGATACTGTGATAATCATTTATGCTATAGATAATCAAGTTCCCATGCTCGGAAAAGTTCTCCAGCACTAGTGTAGCCATAGCTAAGGTAGGCACCCTATATTTAGGGAGAATGGAGCAAGTGAACTGGGCTGAAGCATTTCCAGTCCCACATTCTCCTGCTCCTGCAGACCACAGAAAGGTGGGTCCATGCTCACATGCTATATGTGTCCATCTCTCCCCTAAAGCAAGCTTCAGATCTTAGGCTAAACTTGGCAATGGAATAAAGATTTACAGCATGGAAGATTGACCATGTTTTGTCTTGACCAGTCACTTACCTGACAGATAGACAAAGCCTTTTTTGTGTTCCCAGAGGAGGGAATTGTGTTAGGGATGTACTCTGAATGATGCCTGACTCATACTGATGGTAGTACATCATACTGATAGTATGAGGAAGATAGAGGCGACCAGACCAGGCCTTCCATCATAGTATGGCCCAGGGCTTGACATGTGTGGTGGATCAAAACTATATGGTTTTGGGTGGTGGATCAAAACGTGGTTATGGATCAAAACTGTAACACTTCCCCCCCTACATGCCGCTCTCAAGCGATGAGCATTGAGAAACATGGTGGATCATCAGTACAGAAAATACATCAAATGTGGTTTTGAAACGTTTCAATGCTGGAAGTTTCCAGTTGGGTAGGCAAGTTGCCTGTTGTAAAAGGCATACAGTTTAAGCAGCTACTGTCCTGAAAGACTGTTAAAATTAAATTGTGAATTGACATCTCTATCATTACTGGAGCAGAGTGTCTACCTAGGTATTTCAAAATGGAGTATCTAAGCCTAGCAACACATGGCTTAGGCTGCTGAATAATATGCAGTATTATGTAATTTAATAACATTAAACTAGGATGTTCTGATAATAATATTATTTGAAAGCTGTTTAGTTTATTTAATACCGTGTCAATACAGTTGAATTCATGGAAAAGAAGATTTCAAAAGAAACTGGGGGGAATGCCATAGGAAATTGTGCAATGTACTTATCTGAGACTACATCACATGGTCTGCAAAGCTCGGCTTTTGCTTTTATACACACAGTCTTGGCGACTCTCCCGCTAGCAACAATAGCGCTCAGACTCATACTGATGTCACTGTTGAGTTATTTAATTTGACTGAACGAGATTAATGTGTTTATTTTAAACCTTGGTCAAAATGGAAAAGAAAATCTCAAGACAATACTTTTATGTGAACATGTATGTTTTCATATCTGATGATTGTAATGTTGCATTAACTTATCAGGGGCAGTTGTTTACACACGCTAACGCCCGGGAGACCCCCTCAGATAAGAAGTGTGAGCCATTTTCACTCTCAGCCTGGAGCAAAGACTTCTACACCACTACTGGTCCTGTGGGCTTTCATCCCAGGCTCTCCTTGCTTCCTGCTGCTGCTTTCAGGGCTGATACACAGAGGTCCCAGCACTGTTTCATTTTCTCACGTGAGGATGGGGTTGGTGCTGCCAAGCAATGACAGCAGTGTGGTGGGGGATTCTCCCCAGATTCTCACCAGGGCAGTGAGGGACAGACACCTCCACTGCCCAGGCTGACTAGGTGGGGCTGGTGCTGGGCTCTGTAGGCTGAGCCTGCTCCCATAAAGGCTGGAGACTGCCAGCCTAAATTTTATCCACATTATGTTTTACAAGCAGCTTGAGGGTTTTTCCCTGTGATAGATCATTCTGAACTTACTTCATTCTCACATGTACCCTCTAAGTGTTTGGAACAGACTTCGGTTTTGACTAGGAGTTGTTAGTAACTATCCCATTAAATGCTCCAGGTTGTTGGATTTTTACTAATACAAAGCCGGAAAAAATCTGGAACCTGAGGTTTCTCTTTGCATGGTGGGACAAGCTTTTCCATGGAATCCATCATTGATTGCTGAATGGTGAGAGTGAGGGGATTTCTGCCATGGTCTGTCAAGTGCCTCTCTTGACAGTTGAAGACAACTGGACATAGACATAGGTTAATAATGTGGAAATTGCATAAGGCAGAGCTCAATGCTGTGGTAGGTGCCTGAAGCAAGGTGTGCCTGCTCTTCCTTCCAGTTTTGTAGTCCCTCTGTTCATGTTTCCCTGCAGCCTCCTGTCTGCTGGTGCTCGAAATATGAATCTCCTGGGGGAATAGCAGCTGCTGCTGGGGCTTGTGACATGCCAAAGAGTCACTTTTATGCTTTCTCTTCTGTGGGGTCAAGTGCTTCCATCTCCCTAGCTCTGTGGAAGGCTTTTGGGAATTTGAGCCCTCATCATTGCTGTTTTTGTGGAAGAAGGGAAAAAGTGCCTTACGTACACATGTATCTGCATTTCTCAGGGTGCTGGGTGTCTTAAAGGGTAACAGAGTGGGGCAGAGGAATGGGCATGAGAACAAAACAGAAGGGCTAGGAGGAAAACAGCTCTAGGCGGTCATTAGTCCTCAGCAGACATTGCACGTTGCCTCAGCAGCTCTGATGCCCTGGGCCATGTGTGCTTACCCTGCAGCGTGCTCCAGGGCTGTGTGGTGCTGAGCGTATCAGACTCTGCTGAGGAACCAGTCTTTGGGATTGGCCTCCTGTCTCAATATGTTGTACCTGTGCCTGCGCTCAGTGTCCCCAAGTGCCTGCATGGTTTGTGAAGCCGTGCTGCTCTCAACACTGGGCAATATCTCTATGTCTCCTTAGTGGCTACATTTAAGTAGTGCTGAGGACTGTGTCTAGGCCTTTAGTGGTGGGGAGCAAGACGGACCCAAGTCCTCCCACAAGGCTGGAGCAGAGCAGTCATGGAGCTGCTTCTCTGGAGGCATCCATTTAGAAGCTGCTCCCATCTCCTGCTTTAAGTGCCCTCTGTATAGTTCAGTTCTTTGGACTTGGTATGCACAGGGGGTCCATGAAATATATTTAAAGCGGTAAATAGCTTGACATACAAGGACCTTTTTCCTCAGAGTTCCAGTCAGTGGAAATATGTCATTTTCAGCTAAAATTAGACTGGCTCCAGCTACATTTAAAAAAAAAGAAAAAAAAAAGAAAAACCCTCAAGAACTACACAACTCCTAGCAGAAAGAACTCAGGATCCGTCCAGCACAAACTGTGTCCAAAAGCCTGTGATTTTCATCCAAAAAACTCTGAATTGTT